TACATATCTCTGGAAGGATAGAAAATATTTGGAAGTATTTTAAATTTGTTATGGAGATTTATTTTATAAGTGCCGTACTGATAGCAAAAATTTCTTTTAATGGAAAAGGGAGAGCCGGGTTCGGCCTTATAATCTAAAGCTCTCTTGAGGCATTTGCTACAGTAATGAGAAGTGGTATTTTATCAAGGCCAGGTTACTGAATTCGAGTTGGAAATATTAGAACCCGCCGTGGCACCTCCAAGAAGGTTACATGTTTACGCGTCGTATACCTGGAACCATTTCAAGGTAAACTTAGAGGGATTGATATCATTCGTATGCCTAGCGCGCAGACGAGATTTTATAATTTCATAGTTTTAAATGGCCTAAATACCTTAACTCGCTTAAAAAATAACGAGCTATAACGAAATGGGCACAGAAATAAAATTTAACATCATTAAATTATTTTTCATATTTGTATAAAAGCGCGGGGTGAAACCCGCGGGTATAAGCTAGTAAGCAATATAAATATATATTAACTTAACATTTTATTAAAAATACCTTTACAAACCTCTTTTCCTTGCTAGCGTCCAGTTTTGTTTACTTTTACATTTGGCATTTCTCCTCTTTTTCGCAAAAACAATCGATAAAACTGGGATGGACACCGAAAAGTTATCGGTTAAATCTGAGATTATTTAATAATTACAGATTAACAAGGGACGAATTTTATATGGCTAATCTCTTGTTCTAATTACAGATTAGGGTGTTAAGCTCGAAAATGAGGATAATCTACTTATAAGTGAACCTAGTATTCCACTTAGGGCCGATTAAACACAATGACTGCTTTATCGATCACATGTCATATGCATGATATCGAAATCGTCGATAATGATGTTTAACTGGGATGTAGTGATAACCAGACATTGAACAACCGGCCCTTAATAGAATTTTTCTTGCTGATTTTGTCATAGACCGTTTAAAGTTTTTTTATACATATTGAGTGTAACTCTGTAGCACATAGAATCAAGTGATCTCAGCTGTGAGGCATTTCTGGAAAACATCTGATTCTTTTTTACTTGTAAGTATGCACAATGCACGCAACATCCATCAATGCAAATGCTATGTCTTTATAGGACATGCCCGTTATCACATAATAAAACTGGCATTTTAAATAATGGGACTTATAAATAAAAACTAAGCAATTGCTTTTTCTTAAAATTTCAGACCTTTTACTGAAATTTTTTTGAATAAATCGATTGAAAGATCTGAAATTTAAAAAAACAATTTTTTAGTTTTTATTCATAAGGCCTAATATCTTTACTGAACAATTACTGAATAAAAACGAATTTCCCATTTCCCATAAGCGTTGTCGCGTTTCATTTGACGCTTTCTGATTTACAATTGACTATTCCCAATTCCAAATGACGTTTTCGCATTTATGATTGACTATTCTTAGTTCCAAATTACGTTTTCCCATTTGCAATTGACTATTTTCTTTTACAATTGGCAAATCTTCTGTCTAAATGAAGCTTTCGTATTTTTATTTGATGCTCTCTCGTTCACATTTGTATATTCTTATTACAAATTGACACTTTCGCGTTTATAATTGACTGTTCTCATTGCCAAATGACGCTTACGCATTTTCATTTGACGCTTTCTCATTTACAACTGAAAATGGTGTAGTGCTATAAGATGATTTCAAAACTTACTTTTCTGTGAATTCTGTCAATTTGCTTCGAGCCAAATCCAAGTATGTGTCAATTGATTGCTTGTTGTTTTCGTACACCTTTGGCAAGGTAAATAAAGAGACGAAGGCTGTGTAAACAGGAAGTGAATTTTTATTATATCGAACCTTCATCATAACGTGGTTGTATGCTTACCTAAGATGACCAATGTCATACCATTGAACCAACCGCCAATGTAAGTCAAGACCCACAGAATAACACCAAACTTAATTGAGTCAATCAAATCTTCCACCAAAAACAATCGTCGTAATTCTGCAACAAATCCATTCACATGTGCTACAGCAATGCCTGCGATATTTTGAACCTTCTCTTGCGGCAGAGTCAAATCGATGTCGAGGTATTCTCTACAAAATTAAAGTAGATATGTAATATAGTAGTTATATACATACATATACATGTTGTCTAGAACTCAAAATTAAGACTGATTTTAATCGTCGATGTAAACCTTAGTAACAAAATTATTTTGAAAATCCGATATTACTTGTTCAGCAGCTAAAGAAAGCGTTTTTGTAATTTTTTTTTAATATGACCAGCACTGCTAACAGGAAACATCGCCTTCCCAAGGTAGTTGAAGTTGAACTGCATTACAGTCAATGTCAAAATAATTTGCATTGTTCACCATTTTTCTCTCTAATTTTGGACGATTCGTGTCCCAGAAGATAATTTAAGTAGGTCTTCTTAACTGAAGCCATTTTAAAAGGTTTACCCAAGAAGTGCTGAAAAACGTGCTTCCCTGCATGCCTTCCTATTTACAACTTGCGCACGCGAATTTGTAAGTGTATCTCAGAAAAATTTTCAAAAACGCCTTATCTCAGAATCTGATGGACAATATATTGAAAAAAAATGTTGAGATAGGGCGTTGTTGAAACGGTAGCTGAGATAGGGCGTTTTTGAATTGAATTCTGAAATAGGGCGTTCTTCTGTCAAATTCAGAAACAGGGCATTCTTCTGTCAAATTCTGAAATAGGGCGTTCTTCTGTCAAATTCGGAAACACCGAGATAGGTCCATCTTCCACTCAGCCGTCACTTACTTAAACGATCTAGGCGGCCATAAACCAATTTGACAAAATTTAAAGGAAACAAAAAATTAGTCACAATCCATAGAGAACATTCTAAATAACATTTCCCAGTCCCTCTCACTTTTCTAACTTGCACAGCGAACGTTCACCGTTGACCGGAAACATATTCCGGAAAGCTGCTTATACATTAAGTTTCGCTCTCTAGAAATATCGTAACTGTTTTAACCTTCATCCGTATGTAATTTTTCCAAACGAATTCGGTGTTACAATGTCAAATTGACACTCCATGCGAAATCCATTGTTTTAATGTGAAATTACTTAATCAATATTTGTTTCGGTGAAAAATGTGTTGGAATAAGAATAAAACTTGGGTTTTTTTAGGAAAAAACTATTTCCATTTATTTCATATTTACTACCTTATTATGTATCTCGAACGATAGGCCGCACGAACGATTCGTCTGAGACGACACCGTCTCTGATTGCATTTTTATTAGTCCATCGGTCGTCTTCGACTTGCATTACGTCGATTAGGTTGCAATAGACGCGGCTACGTTTAAACTGACTAGAATTATGCCGCCGGGCTAATTTTTAAAGCATTCGAAGCGTTCGAGCTGCCTAAGGCTGCTAAGGGAAAATATTCAAAGACAGTAGAATTTTTGATGAAAAGTAAAGGAAAAATATTTATTGAGAAAAAACTTAGAGAATTAGGAAGATACCAAAGATATAGGAATATATGATCGTTTGCATTCATCGCATACGGACACACGTAGCAAGGAACTAACTTTTTTGTAACACAATGATTGAGTGCAACTTTATGTTGGAGGTTGCTCCTTAGATCGAACAGACCTAAAAATGGCAAGAGCGTGTATTCCTCGTGGACTCCGTTTTCGTTGGTGAATGTAAGGAAATCAAAGCTTTTGACCAACTTCGATCAAAACAAACGACAACCTATCTTGGCAGCCAGTTCGAAAACGCCCTATATCAAAAAACTTTTTAAGAACGCCCTATTTCATAATTCGTTTCAAAAACGGTCTGTCTCAGCTGCCGATTCAAAAACGCCCATTTCATCACATTTTCAATACATTTGAAGTGAGATAGGGCGTTTTTGAACCGAATTCTGAGGGTAGGGCGTTCTTCAACCAAATTCTGAGATAGGGTGTTTTTCAATAAAATTCTGAAATAGTGCGTTCTTGAAAATTTGTTTGAGGTAGGGCATTTTCGAACTGGCTGCCGAGCTAGGTAGATCTTCCAGTCAGCAGTCGATAGAAGAGATAATCAAGAATAGAGAAGTATTTCCCATACAGTGTCAATTTTTCACTTGAAGTCCGAGTTAAGGAAATTTTTTGTACAGAAGTAACGGGACTTTTTGAAATGCCATAAATGAAAAAAATACAAAGTTTGTATATGATTTAGCTCATAAGCCGAGATATCAAGTACATTTTTTTTTAATCTTACTAATATTATAAATGTGAAAGTTTGTATGTTTGGATGTTTGGGAAATCATCACGCGGAAACGACTGAACGGATTTGCATGAAATTTTGTACTTAGATAGCCTATGGGCCAGATTGATTAATAGGCTATTTTTTTAAGAGTTGCCACCTATTAAAGAAGTTAAATTTATTTAATATGCGGGAACACCGGACGTATTTGCCTGAAAGTTTGCACACAGATAGCTTATGACCTAGGTTGGAAAATAGGCTACCTTTCTTAAGAGTTGCCACCTGTTAAAAAAGTTTAATTAAATTAATACGCGGAGACGACTGAACGAATTTGCATGAAATTTTGCACACGGATAGCTTATTCGCTAGGTTGGAAAATACGTAACTTTTTTTAAGAGTTGCCACCTGCTAGAAATATTTAATTTAATTAATTTAATTTTCCACAGATAGCTTATGAGCTAGGTAGGAAAATAGGCTAATTTTTTTAAGAGTTGCCACCTGCTAAAAAAGTTTAATTAAATCTTACTAATATTATAAATGTGAAAGTTTGTATTTTTGGATGTTTGGCAAATCATCACGCGGAAATGACTGATCGGATTTGCATGAAATTTTGTACGCATATAGCCTATTGGCCAGATTGGTTAATAGGCTAATGTTTTTAAGAGTAGCCACCCGCTAAAAAAAGTTTAATTTATTTAATATGCGCGAACGACTGAACGGATTTGCTTCAAAGTTTGTACACAGATAGGTTATGACCTAGATTGGAAAATAGGCTACTTTTCTTAATAGTTGCCACCTATTAAAAAAGTTTAATTGCATTAATACGCGGAAACGACTGAACGGATTTGCATGAAAGTTTGCACGCAGATAGGTTATGACCTAGGTTGGAAAATAGGCTATTTTTCTTAAGAGTTTCCAATTGTTAAAAAAGTTTAATTAAATTAATACGCGGAAACGACTGAACGTATTTGCAATAAATTTCGCACACGGATAGCTTATTACCTAGGTTAGAAAACAGGTTACTTTTTTAAGAGTTGCCACCTGTTAGAAATGTTTAATTTAATTAATACGCGGAATGAGGGAACTGATTTGCATGGAAGTTTTCACACAGGTAGCTTATGAGCTAGGTAGGAAAATAGGCTACTTTGTTAAGAGTTGCCACCTGCTAACAAAGTTTAATTAAATTAATACGCGGAAACTTCTGAACGGATTTGCATGAAATTTTGCAAGCAGATAGCTTATGAGCTACAGTGGAAAATAGGCTACTTTTTTAAGAATTAACACCTGTTTGAAAATGAAATTTTGCTCACAGATGGTTTATGACCTGGATTGAAAAATAGGCTACTTCCTTAACCGGTTTCCCGATCAGAACTAAATTTGGTAAACTTACTACGGATTTCGCAAGGATGGTCTTAGACTGAAAGTAATTCGATAACTCAAGGCCCCTCCCATACAAATTGGAATTTTCATATTACATACATATTTCTGGAAGTATTTGTGGGAAAGAACTAAAACTTGGTATAAAGCATATCTTTGGCAATAATCGATTAATTTTTTAATCAATTAGTTAATTCGATTAAATTCAATCTGATTACAGTTAATCATGATTAATTTTAATCTGACGAAACAGTTAATCGTAACCGCCTTAATTTAAGCCTAAGTGGAAGGTTCAATCACCTTTTGTTTCATTGATAGAGCTTCTCAAATATTGCAAAAAAGCGATTTTTTGACACTTTCACCACATTTCTCTCAAAATCTGGAGCTGATGGAATCTTTATACTTACGTATTCTCAATTAACACAAAAAAGCCTATCAACAGCTTCAACATTTGCCGCATCAAAATCGGTGTTGGCCTGTGTTACCTATACTAATTATATAAAGAAAAGCTCCTTCTTTTTATAAGAGGTGATCTCGCGAACGGCTGAATCGATTTTTTGAAATTTTTGACACCTACTGCAGACTTTCGATATATTAAAGGAGCGTGGCATCACCCATACATATCGAATTTTTCATACCGTATATCTCTGAAAGTATTTGTGGTAGTGTCCTGGAAATTGGTATAGAGATTTTGGGGCTACTGGAAAAGGGACGTGGCGCTTTCCAAACATTTTGAAACTTTTATCTATCTGTAAATATATACACCCATAATACAGTGTTCTGTTCTTTTTCATAATACATTTTTTTGTTAATTTTTATAGAAATGTAGTTCATTTTGTATCAAATGGCACCAAATTTTGAGTATGCAGTTTTGTAGTTCACTCAATTTCAGTATCATAAAGTGCAAGTTTTTAATGGCTGTGAGATACCGTTGATTTTTGAGAATTTTTTCGCTGATGATGTTGCGCATTTTCTCCGTATAACGAATGCGTGAGAGTTTTTATGTATGAGAAAAAACGCCGAAGAGTGTCAGTATGTAAAAGACTTAATCTGGTGGCTTAACTCCTCCTAAACGACCGAAACGATTTTAATGATAATTTTTTAATGATACTTTTTAGTGGCGCTGGAGCCGAGTTATTGCTAAAAATCATCGATTCGCAGGCTCCAGATATCAAAGTCAAATTACTCCCGTTAAATCAACCATCAGAGACATTGTGATCCTTGCCTTACGGTGACTATACAGAATGTGGACCAATGATTCTCACCAGTTTGGAAATTGCCACCAACTATACTATACATATTCAAACGACGATTCACTATCGAGCCGCAATGACTTCTTCCCGATATAATGCTTTCGTCAGGTTATTTAAGACGGCAATGGAGGATAGAAGGCATATCCACAAAACCAAACGTGTACGTGAATTGCTGGCGATAACGTTGGACCAAATGTTTCAATAAAAAAAATTAATTTTGGGCGGGACGAAGTTCGCCGGGTCTGCTAGTTCTAT